GCCCTTTCTGCTCATTCATGTTTTCTGTAGTAGATCCCTTTATTCCAGAGACCTCTACTATTTCTCATATTGGCTTTCAAAGCAGTATCTCTAGGCCCTTCCTTGCTCTGGAACTCCTTTGTTACATTTCCAAACCTCCCCTGGCCATCTTTCTACTTCCCATTGGTGCCTCAAATTCAGCGCATATGAAATAGAATTCATTGTCTCATTTCTTGACCCAAATCTGTCTCTCTCTCTCTCTCTCTTTTTTTTTTTTTTTTGCCTTTAAGAACTAATATGTCCTGCACAGAACACCAGTCCCCATGCTAATATGTACTTTCCATGAATTCGTGCATTTCATCCTCACAAAAATTCTATGTGCTACTATTTTTCTCTCTTATATATGAAGAAATGGAGGTCATAGGGATTATTAACTTGCCCAAGAACACTGAGGTTGGAAAAGATGGTGTCAGGACTTGAACCCAGGTCCATCCAGCTCAAAAGCCTATCTTCCTCATCACTCCGGCAGTACTGTCTTCCAGGCCTCCGTGATGGCAGAACTTTTCATGCAGTCCCCTTCCCCAGCTTTCTTTGAGCCCTCCCACTTCTTATCATTACATTCAGTCATTCAACAGCCTGTCCATTCTGCCTTGAAGAATATTCCTTAAATCTCCTCCTTCCTCTCTATTTCCAGAGCCACGTTCCTTAGTAGGCCCACTGGTTTTAATTGCCCCTAAGCTCTCACTTGGTATTCCTCATATCTTTCCTTCATGTTACTGTAAAGGTAATCTTTGAAAATTCAAATCTGATCATGTTATCACCTCGCTTAAGAGCCTTCTAAGATACCCCTGATTGAGTAGGATAAAATCCAAACTCCTCAACACAGCACAGACGGTTCTCCAAATATATCTTCAGTCTATCTTTCCGAGCTCATTCCCCACCTCCCTGCCTCTTTCTCTTTCCTTTGTGCTGTTTATACATCTCTGTTATTGTAAGACCTAGGATATACTCAATTTAATTAATCTTGTGTTCGTATAAGAATTATGTCTTTGCTTCGAAAGCACTCTGGTTTTGAATTAATCTAGTATCGCACTCATACACACATGCACAAGTGCATTTAAAACCTTAATCATGTTGTGCCAATATTCATTTCCTGGTTTTGATAATGACTGCGTATAGTTGAGTAAGTCGTAACCAGTGAGGGAAGCTGGATAAAGTAGACGCAGACCTTCTCTGTATTATTTTTTGCAACTTCTCATGAATCTATACTTACTGAAACTTAAAAAGTTTTTTTAAAAAATTACTGTAGCATTGTGTTTTTTGCCCAGGAAGCAGGTTGAGAAAAATTCAAGACATGTAAGTGTTCTACCTTTATTATTATATTGTTGTATTACAGGACTCGGCTTGCTTGATCTTGGAGCTTGGGCTAAGAGGCATATGTTGGATTTCATCTTGGAAAGAAAAGCAAAACCCTTACTAGCACTAGAGCAAAGACCAGGCTTTTGAACCAGACAGACCCATGTTGGATTCCAGTTCTGCTGTTTATAAACTAAATGAACTTGGGCAAGTCACTGAACTCCAAACCTCACTTTCACTGTAATTATAAAAAATGATGATCATATGACCTACTTGCTCGAGGGTTTGGGGATATTTAAACAAGGTAATGTATATAAACAAGGTCATAAACTATAAACTTAAGCAGGATGGAATGTACAGTACTTAGCTTATAAATAAACATGTTTGATTTCTCTTTCTCTTGGGCCACATGAGCAAATCCTGTTGGCTCTATTTTTTTTTTCCTGCTGGTGCCATCTTTCTTTCTTTTTTTTTTTTTTTTTGTCTTTTTAAGTGTTTATTTATTGTTGATAGAAAGAGAGACAGAGTGTGAGCAGGGCAGGGGCAGAGAGAGAGAGAGAGAGACACAGAATGTGAAGCAGGCTCCAGGCTCTGAGGTGTCAGCACAGAGCCAAACACGGAGCTCGAGCCCAGGAACCGTGAGATCGTGACCTGAGCCCGAGTGGGGCGCTCAACCAGCTGAGCCACCCAGGGGCCACGTGTTGGTGCCATCTTTGAAGTGTATCCAGAATCCTACCACTTCTCACCTCTACCTGCTATCATCTTCGTTCAGGCTACTTTTATCTCCTCACTGAATCACTCCAACAACCTCCTAACTTGTTCCCTTGCTTCTGCCCTAATACCTCTTACGTTTAATCTGAACACAGCAGCCAGAGATAGCTTGTCAGTGTGTAAATTGAATCATGTCATTCGCGTGTCCAAAATCCTCCAATGGGCTCTCCTCTCACTCAGAGTAGAAGGCAAAGCCTTTGAAACGGCCTCCCATTGCCCCGCCCCTCTCTACGTGCACCATATGGATGCCTCTGCCATCCCATCTTCTCTCCTCCCCCCTCCTACTCAGCCCCGGATGCTCCCAGCTCAGAATCCTTATGCTTCCATTTCCTTGCATTTCCTAGGTTGTTCATTTCCCCCAGATGCTCCACTCTCACTTTTAAGTCATTGCTCGGAAGTCATTCTCATGAGGTCGCCTTAGTCACCCTACTTAAACGTGCAATCCCATCTCTTCCTCCTTTGTTGTTCCTTATACCACTTACCACTTTTAATGTGCTGTGTAATTTATTTGCTTTCCCTCTCCCCTGACAGGGATGTAAGTTCCTGAACAAGTTTGCTCACTGTGTAAGTTCCTGAACAAGTTTGCTCACTGTGTAAGTTCCTGAACAAGTTTGCTCACTGTGCTCCAGTGAGTGATATGGTGCCTGATACATAGCTGACCCTCAATAAAATCTTCTAAGTGGATGAATGAATGAATGAATGAATGAATTCCAGCAGAGTGAGTGACATAAGCAAAGCCACAGAAGTGTGGAGGACTGTGGTCCACTCAAGAAATGGAGAGCAGATAAGTATGAGCAGAGTCAAATGTGTGTATGTGAGGAACCAAGTCCTTCTCTGTCCCTTCCCAGGAGACATCTTGAAGGGTCCTCACACCCCATGTCTCCATTTCCTTATCTCCCACACTCTTCACCTTCCTGCTCATTCTCTTCCACCGCTTCCACTTCTATCGCTCCACCACCAGTAACCTCCAGGTTAGTAAAGCTAGTTGCCATCCTGTTTTGACCTTTGGACACATATTGCCGCTGTTGACTGTCCCGTCCCTCTGGAAGCACCCCATTTTCCTTTGAGTCTCATTTCACAACACTCTCCTCGTTTTCCTCTTACTTCTCTGGATGCCTCCTCTCTACCCTTTTTGCAGGCCAATCTGGTCCTATTCACCCAACCATTATATTCCATCCTAGGCTCCCTGTTTGCCAACTCTACCCTCTTCCTAATCTCTCGCATCCTCTCCATGGCTTTGGGAACCACCTGGACGGAGGTGACTCGTGAACGTATACCTCAACTCACACTGCCCTTGGAGCTCCACATTGACTTGTGCCCTATGTCCCAAAGGGACTTAAACTCTACATGTTCCGAACCATGCATGTGGTCTTTGCCCATCCAGGAAACCTTTTCCCTAGATCCCTTAGACCTAGCCATTTTGCCTCTGGAGTCCTGAATGCTCTCATCTTTCCCCTTTGCCCAGAGAAGCCTCTCTTATTTTTGAGAAATCTGTTCAAATGCCACTTCCACAGGGATGCCTTCCCTGAATTTCTGGGTGGGTGAAATCTCCCATTACATCATCTACTTTTTTGTCATGGCATTTCCCATAATTATTTTATATTTGTTGGTGTAATTATTTCACAATGGTCTGAACTTCACCCTCCTGCCCCAGCCAACTAGAGGCCGAGGTTATGTTATTTGTATTGACTCTTGTGTCCTCAGACCTAGGACATGGTGTGGCAGGTGGTAGGTGCCCAATAAATATCCACTGTTTCCATTCTAGTAATAAAAACAATTGGAACCCTAAATTCTTGAGGGATTGAACTATACTTGACATTCATCGTCCCATTTAATCTTTAAGATATGCTTTGAGTTCACATCATTGTGTGTATACACATATATGTGTATCTATACATACATATTTAGATACATTAATATTGCATTATGTATATTACACATACATTTAACATGCATACATGTGTACATATATGATATATGTGTATATCTAATATATACATATAGCATGTATTTCAACAGGAATATATACATTATTATTATATCCTGTAAATACATCTTGTTTTAAAAACAAGGAATTGTGACATAGCAAAGTTAACTATCTTAATGTGCCCATACTGGTACTTGGACCCCAACTCCAGTGTCTTTTCTCCATCCAGATCCCATATAGAGAAGATGCATTGAAAATGTGCAAATATTTTTGAGGCATTATCTACTTAATAATTTACACATTTAAATTAGGCTGTTTTGGGGGCAACTGGATGGCTCAGTTGGTTGAGCATCTGACTTTGGCTCAGGTCATGATCTCATGGTTCTTGGGTTCAAGCCCTGCATCGGGCTCTGTGCTGATGGCTCAGAGCCTGGAGCCTGCTTCACATTCTGTGTCTCCTTCTCTCTCTGCCCCTCCCCTCTGTCTCTCTCTGTCTCTCAAAAATAAATATGTAAAAAAAATTTTAATTAGGATATTTTGTGTGATGTGAACACATATGTATTTTGGACAATATAAGTAGTAGGGAGAGAGCTTTAGGCAAAATTTTTTTATACAAAGGGTGTTTTTAAAATTTTTTTATAGTTTATTAGTTATTTTGAGAAAGAGAGAGAGAGAGAGAGAGCAAGTGTGCAAGCAAGGGAAGGGCAGAAAGAGAGAATCCCAAGCTGAAAGCACGAATGAGGCTTAATCCCACGATTCGTGAGACCATGACTTGAGCCAAAACCCAGAGTCAGACACTCAACAACTAAGCCACCCCCATGCTTCTTAAGTGACTTTTAAAAATATGGCCCGTTCCTTCTATGCAGAGAAGGTTATCTCTGGAATTTACATTTGGTTCAGGACCACATGATTGCTGCTGCCCATTTGCAAATGATATTTCACTGTGGAAAAGGTGATTCAAACTCACCGATTTCATGGCAATGGTGCATGGCCAGCCTCCTGACCCCCTCCAAACAGGTGTCCTGACTTAGGGAAGAGTCCACATCACCAAAGATATTTCCAGGCTGCCAGGATTTAGAGGTGCCAAGGTTGAAGAGATTAGAAAAGGAAGGGCGGATTCTCTTTTTCTTTTTAAATATTCTGGAAATAAATGAAAGTAACATGATGCAGAATGAATAACAGCCCCCTCTGGTTCAAAAGCAAGAATGTGGTGAAAATGATTTGATGCGTAGAACCCATGTGTGAAGTTCATTTCATTTGTTCCCTCTGTTAACCTCACAGAAGTTTCTTAAACTTCTGTGTGTCCAGGTGCCTGGATCAATATCAAAGATACTGAAATGCAAGATAAAACCTTGGGCACAAAATGTTCACAATCCATTATAGGAGAGAGGCAAGGACAATGCAGACGAAGCTAATGCCTTCATAGAGCTTATTCTGTGCCAGGTGTCTTTCTTGGTTTACATACAATAACTTTCATTACCCTTGGAACAGCCTTGTGCGGTAGGTACTATAGATACCCATTGTTCAGATCAGGAAACTGAGGCACAAAAGGCAAGTAACTTGGCTGAGGTCATCTAGTAAGTGTCGTAACTGGGAAACAAACTGAAGAAGGCTGGCTCTATGGCCTCTTCTCTGGATTACAGTGCTGTGTAGGGGGTGTGTGCTCTGACGGAATTAACCAGAGGCTGCACTGAGAGCACTATGAGAGGCATTGCTGATCAGGATTCAAGGGAGGCTTTCCGCAAGAGGAGATGTCTGTGCTGCATAGGATTGTCTGTTCTCTTCACTGAAGAGCAGGTAGGTCTTATATTGAGGCATGCCAGGAAATGAGGCTGGAGAGGTAAAAATAAGGCAGGGAATGAAGAACTTTGAATGTGACAATAATGGAGAAACTTGAATGCCGTTAAGGAGTTGGATTTTCATGTCAGAGCAAAGGGAAGCCACTGGGCACCATGGCGACGTGATTTGTTCCGCATTTCTGAAAGATTTCGCTACTCACCCATCCACACTCCCAGCAACCTGTCCTCTACATTGTAATCAGTGTTATTGTGCTCAGGATAAATCTGGTCACTTGTCAATGGCTCCTCTTTCCCTACAGAACAAAGCCCGACCCCCTTAGCTGTACTTGAAGGTTCTCTTCTCAGCCCCTGTGTCTGCTCAGGCTTCTCTCATGTTCCTTCCACTCTGAACTGTATCTCTGCCAAACCACCTACCATATTCCAAATTGTTCAGGGTATCCCAGTGCTCGATGCCTGTTCCCTCTCTGGAAGTCCCCTTTGCTACTTTGTTTTAACTAAGATCCTGCATCTCTCCAGACTCAAATCAGTCTTCATTCTCTCTAGGAATCTCGTTTTAACCTGTTTCCTCAAGTGAAATAGGCTTCCCTTCTTTTTCTTCTGCACTGTATTCTCTCAGACCTCTACCCTGGCACCCGGATCTCTTGATCACCTTGGTTTAGGATCAGCTATCCTTGCCCCTTATCGGCCTTTACGCTTCCACAGTCTGAAGGGGGAATGGGCTCTCATAAATGAAAGCTAAATGAACAAATGAACGAACGAATGAATAATTAGTGGATGGATTGGATTTTGGATTCTTTTACAGGTTATCCACTACTTACCTAACTAAATTCTCCTTGTAAAGAACACTGGTCTGGGGTGGGCTCAGAGTTATATTGCCATCTTCGCCACAGAGGAAACTGTCTTCTGTCCAAATGTAGTAGCCATTGGAGAGGAGTCTGGGACTTCGGCGACAGGTAACATGGGAGCCTGTCAAGAGATCTACAGGGCAGCATTCAAAGGAACTGTCACCATCCAGGAAATCACAGGCAAAACTAAAGAGGGAAGAAGGAAAGTGGTTTACACCTCTATCCACTACATCCAGGCCTGTAACAACCACAATTCTACCCACCATGAAGGAAAATAGCTCTTAGCATTCATGGCTAACTCTTTTATTTTTTCATTTAATTTTTTAAATCTTTATTTTATTTTGTTCTTAACTTATTTTTGAGACAGAGCACGAGTGGGGGAGGGGCAGAGAGAGAGAGAGAGAGGGAGACACAGAATCTGAAACAGGCTCCAGGCTCTGAGCTGTCAGCACAGAACCTGATGCGGGGCTCAAACCCACAAACCGTGAGATCATGACCTGAGCTGAAGTCAGCCGCTTAACCGATTGAGCCACCTAGGCGCTCCTAATCTTTAGTTTTGAGAGAGACAGAGCATGAGTGGGGGAGGGGCAGAGAGAGAGGGAGACACAGAATCTGAAGCAGGCTCCAGGCTCTGAGCTGTCAGCACAGAGCCGGACACGGGCTCCAACTCACGAACTGTGAGATCATGACCTGAGCCGAAGTCAGATGCTTAACTGACTAAACCACCCAGGCACCCCTCATGGCTACCTCTTTGCATGCATGCATTCAGCCACCCGAAGAATGTCACTCCTAACCTAGGCTTCATCTCAGTAATGAGAGCATTGAACAACAGGGCATTTAGTGCTTCCTTCTGTTTTAAACATTTTGATGAAAACATTACAGCTAATCAGTCTCCTCACCATATGATGCAACTCTACCCTTGACATTAATCCATTTTCTTGGATGGAAAAATTGCAGAATGGCCTAATCGGGGTGCTTATTATATAAGCTTATTATTATAAGCTCTTTGGAAGTGTATAGTCTCCACCCCCTTTCCCTCCAACCGCCGTATCCTTACTCCTTCCCCATAATAGATAAATTACGACTGTGCAGCCTTCAGACATATGAGTTATAGGGTGAACATGCAGTCAGAGAGATCTCTTTGACTTTGGCCAATTTCCCTCTTGGTCAGATGCACCAATGACCGTACAGTTTGTGGTTTGGTATCCAGGGAACGTTCTTAATATTTAGTTGGGTAAATATCCAGGTGTCTTAGGTTTGAAGAACCATCATATGCTTGTGTGATTGAAAGGTGACATCATGCCACATGCTCTACTGAATTTCTGATAAAGTTTTAAATGTAGAGGCCTGTCCTCAAGCAATAAATGCACTAAAATTAGTAAAAATACTGTTTTTTTTTTTTTTTAAATATTTTTGTTTATTTTTAGGAGAGCTAGGGAGAGAGAGACAGCGTGAGCAGGGGAGGGTCAGAGAGAGAGGGAGACACAGACTCTGAAATAGGCTCCAGGCTCTGAGCTGGCAGTCAGCACAGAGCCCGACGCGGGGCTCGAACCCACAAACCGCGAGATCATGACCTAAGCGAAAGTCGGACGCTTAACCGACTAAGCCACCCAGGCGCCCCGTAAAAATACTGTTTTAAATGGATATTATTTGTTGAAACTGTACTGTGGACCTAGCTCATACTTCACACTTTATCTACTTTTCACTAACCTCCCCAAAAGCTAAGTATTGTAATCTGCATTGAACTGTAGGGAAATATATATATACCTTATATATAAGATGCAGACAGACAAATAACTTGGACATTTTATAATAGCTAGTAAGTGATAAGACTAGGATTTGGACCCCTATCTATCTGGAGTGCTCATTCCACGTGGCTTGCTAGTTCATCCTTGGCTGATTCATTTGATAGTAGCAAGAGGCCTAGAATTTACAAATAAGGGTAGGCTCTTACACCAATGCATGATTCCTTCATACCATTGGCACATTTTACAAAATGCTAGGGAAAACATCAACTGAGGCCTGCCTAAGGAATAAAAGAGAGAAGAGCCGGCGGGGGGCGGGGGGAGGGCGGGGGAAGAAAGGAAAAGGAGACTTCATCGTAGAACTTGAACAAAACGGGTGACTCTACACGTTTTTGTAGAGCATGGCATTTGGCCAGCTTGCGCATGGCATAGAATCGTGTTGCTCTTATAAATTGAGATAGTAAAGCATATTTAGGAGAAACTCAGTTCGAGAAAAAGTAACCACCATTCATCAGTAGTCGGTGGTTTCTTCACTCCTGAAACAATTCACATTTGCTTATAGACTCACAACCATGCCCCTCCCCCGTTCCATTATTAGGTGATGCAACTTTTCATCTGGTATGTGCATGGGACTGAAGATTTATAGCCATTCCAAAGCAGGAGGAGGTCTCAGACTAACATTTCTAAACCAGGAATGCAATAAAATGAGACACACAGGGAGAGAACGTGATGGATTTGTCTTGCAGAAAGTCCCATGGAATACCTCGGGAGAATGCATCCGGGAGACATCTCTCTGGTATATTCTCTCTCAGAGCCTGAAGAACCTGCATAAGCACATGGGAGAGAAGTGCAAATTTATCACACGTCCCCAGCATGCAGGACTGCAAATAAGGGGGGCTTTAAAGAAGGTGTGAATAGATCCCTCCTTGGCAGGGAACTCAACTAGTGTGGCCATGCAGTGAATCAGGACTAAGCCAACTTGTCACGGGAGCCAGAAATAACCCAGGGGCTTCTGTCATCTGTTTCTTCTCTCACTCAACATTCCTGTAGAGGTTTCTTAGCAGAGGATGAGGCAATAATGAACTATTAGCATCAAACTGACTCATCAAGAAAGGGAGGAAGAAATTATCTTGTGTGAAGCTGTAGAAAACCAAAATCAATTACCCAGTGTGCCAGTTCTTTTAGCTGCCTCAGTAATTTGAGGGATTCAATCATTTGCCTAGACTCTCTCTCATTAGCGCATTTTAAGGCACTTCCATTGTAAAATAATGAGCAGAAGACGTTAGTGAAGGAAAAAAAAATAAAGTTTCGTTTTGTTTCATAGAAATGATTTTCCAGTGTATGAAGCCTGTGAGTATTCTTAATTTAAAAAAATTAACTAATTAATTAATTAAAAAAAAATCATCCTTCCATTCACGCATCCCTTCATTCCCCATTAACTAAAGGCATAGCACCTAATTTCAGTTGGGGAAAGTGCAGTTAATTAATATTCTAAACTCTAAAGCAGGATGTTTTATAGTAACGTGCGAATGCATCTAACAGAGAGGCTCCATGAAACTTGATTCCTATGAGTTACTATGAGTATCTGAGACAAAGAAAGGAGTGTAGACTGTCAGATCAGGATGGTCGATTTGTAAGGAGTAAATTGTAGGTGTGAGAGGAGGGGGTAGAAACCAGGTCTGGGGAGAGAATGACAAGAGGAAGGAAGGAGCTTGAAACCACAACCGTTTTAACAACGCCCTTATTTTCTGCAAGTAGCTATCAAAATCATTCAGTATTTTTTTATAGACAGTTTTGCATCTTAATAGTAGCTGATAAGCAATCCCCTTTCACAGTTATGCACAGACATCTAAAAAACCAGTGATTTTTTTTTCCACTAAAAAGACAAATGCCACATTTCTCTCAAGGAAAGAAATGAAGTCAAAATCATTGCCAAAGTGAACACTGGCATTTAAGAAGCACACGCTACTGACAGATGGTTAATGGTATGAGTATCAGCAAAATCAAAGCAAGGAAATTGCTAAAAGAAGTCTAATCGTTCAAAAGATAATTGCGCATAGCAGTTCTCCTACATTTTCTTGCCACTGGTGTTGACATCAGTTGAGAGATTTGGTACATCTTGGGAAGGCTGCTTGTTCAAACTTCACAGATTTTCTGAAAGAGACATTAAAAAAGAGGTGGATTATATATTAAAAATAGAAAAATGATGCCAAAACAGATGGCATCTACTAATTGCACTAGTCAGACTTGTTTACTGAATGATACAGAGATTTAGGGCTGAAGGAGGAAACTGGAATGAATGACCACTGAGGTTGCACCTGCTACAACGTTGTATTACATTTTCCATCGTCTGGCTTAGCGCATCCAAATAACCTTTTTCTGTAACTAAGAACAGCATTTTATTTGGGAAACCTAGATTTATGTGGTTGACTTGTAGTCAAAGTAACTAATGACAATGAATTGTTTAATTACGAAATCAGAAAAAAGGAAGATTGGTTGTAGAGCCCTCTAGGTAAATGTATTTGTATTTTCGTCATGCAACACACATCACCCTCTTTATCAAGTTCCAGGCAACTCTTGGGGATCCGTGTCTGTCTTTTGTGCAACACCTCAAACCATTGACAAGGGGTCATAGAAAGGGCTGGTTGTCTTTAAAAGGTGCTGTCAGCCTGAACATTCGCAACTAGCACAAGCAGCATTACACTAAAAATTGTCCACCACCATGCAGATTTCAAAACTCAGTTCGCAGGAGCATGTACTTTACTCTCTCAATTACAAATTAAACATATGTCCAAGGGTGTAAATCACATAAACTTTGATCATATACCACTCATCACATAGATCCATCTGCTGTAGACCACGACCCTTTGCACAAAATGCTATCCTCATAGCCTTGTAAGGTAAGACTAAATTCTCTTTCTGATTCACCATCTCTATCCACATTTTAAAAATGTGATACCTAGTAATGGATTGTTTTTGTAGCTGTCATACATTAAATCAAACCAAGCTAATCCTAGAGCCCCAAACTGATTCTTTCAATAAATTATATGCCATACCTTTTAGAAAATATAGATCCTAGCTTATAGACACCTTCAGAGGAGTCCAGAGAACCGTCTGGCATTCCTTAAAAGATCTCTAAATCAAAGCACACATTCATAGATTTCATTCATTTAGAATATAAAATAATATTGTTTGCCCCATAATACAAAAGTTTGTCATTGTCCTTTTGGCTTTTGATCAATATCATCTGAGGTACGCAGCCCAAATTACACCATGTTAATTTTCCCCAAGCATCAAGTTTAATTTTAAACCCACGAGTTCTGTGGCGTATGGCAAAGTTTTACTGCTATATCTTACAAATACTTGTATCAGGCCACAGGCAGTACAGTTAATCAAGTATTAGTAACATTCAAAAAGCCTTCAGTAACAGTGCTAAATCTTTTCAAGAAACAGCTTCTGTCTACCAGTTCTATCAAAGTAACACATCCGTTCTGAAAAATAATCTGGCCATACATGTTCCTTCCAAAGGGAGTCCCCAGCTTCTTCCTCCTACTGATGAATAGCAGAATTACTGAAGTACAAAGCTTCCTGTGGTTGACGATGGAGACATCCAGGATTTAGCAGTTCTTTGGCTGAAAATAAAGACAGACTGTCAACAGGTGCAGGGAAGTCTCGTAATCAAGAGAAATCCCGGTCCCTCCTCCTAACAGATGCCTGCGTGCATCGCCGTGTGCCGGAGTTTGCAGACAGGTTTTGTCCTCGGTGGCCTCTCGTTCTTTTGGTTGTTTCCTAGAATAAAAGGGCATGCAGTTCTTGAGAAAGTCAGCCTTATAACCGCTCTTGTTTTCTTTCAAAAACAGCCTGTGTAACCAGAGACTGCGAGGCAGAATGAGGTCACACTTCCTGTTGGGCTCACATCAGTGGCATTCACGCTGAGGAGTATGGTGAAGCCTCAGAATAGTCTCCTGGACCAGCAGCAGAGGACGTGCGGCCCACAAATCAGGCCAGCTGGATACGTCACGGTCACTCGAGGGATGCTTTCCTGAGCTACCTCGTCACTCCTAGCCATGAGAACGCGAGAGAAACTTCCAGAGAAGCAATGCTTCTTGACTGTCATCCTCTGGCCCTTTCCAATATGAGTAGTACCTAGTTGTGCTGTGTCCAGATCGATGAAGTTAATTGGTGCTAATGCACTGATGCTCTTAGATTCAGAATATCATTCAATACCAGGAGCTGGTTTTTATGAAAATGTCTGTAGTGGCAATAGGTAGATTCACCAAAGATTGAGCTTTACGGGAAACTCTCTGGGGGGCATTTTATACTTTATATTCATATTTTAGTTGAGCTCAAAGAATTTCCAATGGGTCCCTACAAATCTATTGTAAATGATAAAAAAGAAAATACATTCTAACAACACGAAGGTGCATTGGGGAGTGGAAAGAGTGTGGGTTCTGAAGTCACAGAGACTGAGATTCAAACTCTATCTGCCTACGAGCTTTGTAAACTCAGATTTGTGACTTAACCTTTTGGATCTGCAAGTCTTCCAACTATAAATGTAATAATATATATTTTGTAGGGTGCCTTGGAGAATTGAATGAGAAAGGAGTACTGAGAAAGAAGTGAATCCTCAGCTCGGATGTGCAAGATGTATTCCTTATTTGTTTTCTGTAAATCGTCTTCTCTTCTGAAGCCCCAGTTGGTCAGCCCGGCAGAAAAGTTAATCTCATTCCTTTTTGGGGTTCTCTCAAGAAAGGGATTTACCTTTCTCCCTGAGGTAATGCCAAAGGCAGGATCTTTTATAGAACATGCCCTTAGAAACAGAAGCTGTTAGTGAGGGAGTCACGTCTAGTCTGTGGTAGATAGCTTGCAAAGATGACCCTCAAAGATCTTTGTGGGATCCCTTTCCCTTCAGCATGGGCTGAAGCAAATAACTCGCTTCTCCTGCATAGATGAGACACAAGTGATGGATCGGCACTCCCACGATTAGGTTACAAAAGTCTGAGGTTTCTGTCTTGTCGACCTCTCCATTACCTTCTAGGCTTACACACTTGGATGAAGCAAGCTTCCATGTTGGAGACGCACACAGGACAAGAATCTGGGGGGTTGTCTCAAGTGCCGGCAAAGGACTGAAGCCCTCGGTCCGATGGCTGGAAATCCAGTCAATGGCCACATGAGTGCCTCAGAAGCAATTCTGTCTCCAGTTGAGCCTTGAGAGCGCTACAGCCCCGGATAACCCTTTGGTTGCAGCCTCTAAACACCCACAAGCAGGCAAACCAGCTCAGAATTGCCCATATTTCTGACCTGTAGAAACGATGTGATCAAAAAATGGTATTTTAAGGGACAACGTTTTGTGTAACTTTTCACACAGCAATAGATAACTAATACATAGTCCCAACAAATGTGTTTTCTAGGCCACTAGGTATTCCAGTCTGTTTGGCCAGGAGGCCAGCCTTAGAACATAGGCACGTTTATTCAAGGCTGGGTCTGGTCACATCTGCCTACATTTATCAGATAGCCATTCCACCCTAAGGCAGTTCTGGGAGTCTGGTACCTTCTTTCTTGAAATCCATAGCTCTCCTCCTTCTCATTCTCTCTCTGTTTCTCCTTTCTATTTTCACCCTCCTCCTTCCGGCCCTGGCTAATGATTTCTGGAGGAGGAAGGGAAAAAAATCCTTCTGGCCTAAGACCCTTGGCTCTGCCCAAGTCCACAAAGCCCCTTTCCCAAAAGACTGACATCAAAAAGACTTTATTCCTTTACTGATCTGGCACAAATTAGGGTATCATTAGTGATGGTAATCATTGCTAACTTTATGGAGCCCTTACGACTTCCCAGGCACTGTTCCACTTCCTTTACATGTATTAGCACATTGAATCTGCACACCAACGCCACGAGGGAGGCTCTGTTCTTAACCTCATTTACAGATGAGAAAGCTGAGGCACAGAGAGTTAAATACTTTGCCCCAGACCACACAGCCAGTAAATGGTGAGCTGGCAGAACTGAGATTCTGAGCCTGCATTCCTAACCTATAAGTAATAACCATCACATCAAACACGTTTGAGCATTTCCTATGAGCCAGGCACTGTCTGCAACACTCTGTGTGTGTGACCTTGAGTAAACCTCACACAGCCCTAGGAAATAAGTACGATCATTATCCGCATGCAGGATGGAGGTTTAGAGGGTTTACAGATACTACCAAGTGTCATGGTAGGAGTTCTAACCCTGGAGCCTCCCCTTTGCTCTTCTCTCCCCAGGGCCACTTGTCTCCTTAAATGCCAGATGTGTGCCTGCTCCACGATCTTTGTGCTCCACCCCTCCCTGCCCAAAATGTCCCCTTGATAGTCAGAGGGTGTTCTCTTACCTCCCTTGGCTCTTGGCTCAAGAGCTTTGGTCACTAACTAAATTGCCCTCCACGCACCCTCCTTGCTCTTTCCCTGCTTTATTCTTCTCCATAGTACTTTTCAGTATGTAACATACCACAGCCTCTATTTTTCGTAGTGATGAATTTATTCCTCAGCCAGACCGTAAGCTTTATGAAGGCAGAGAGTTTCGTCATTTCTCTTCATTTCTGTAGACCCAACATCAAGAATCCAGCCTGCCACGTAACACGTTGTCCATTACCATTTACGGAATCAATAAGTAACTGAATTAAAAGCTAGGGGAAACTGACTTCAGCCCTCTATTCTGCAGCAGTTTTATTTTTTTAATTTATTTTCAGTTCATTTGTTTGAAAGTGACAAAGAGGGGTAGAGAGAGGGGAGAGAGAATCCTGAGCAGGATCTGCGCTGTTCGTGTGGAGCTGTATGCGGGGATTGAACCCATGAACCATGAGATCATGACCTGAGCTGAAGTCAAGAGTCAGACGCTTAACCAACGGAGCCACTCAGGTGTTCTTAAAAGTATGTTCAGGGGCGCCTGGGTGTCTCTGTCGGTTAAGTCTCTAACTCTTGATTTCAGCTTAGGTCAAGCTCTCACTGTTCATGAGATGGAGGATTCTGTCCGGCTCCGTCCTGACAGGTGCAGAGTCTGCTTGGGATTCTTTCTCTCTCCCTCTTTGTCACTCCCTCACTCTCTCTCTTTCAAAATAAATAAATGACTTAAAAAAAATAAATGTTCCCCAGAATGTTCAATCCTCCATTATCATCAGAGGGTGTCTGTGTCGAAGGGGAAAAGTGTAGCAGTATATTTGAGCCCGATCTCACCATTAGAAGTCCTACCCAGAGCAACCAGGCAAGAAAAATAAATAAAAGGTATTCAAATCAGAAAGGAAGAAGTAAAATTATCCATTTGCAGATGACGTGATCTTATATATAGAAAACCCTGAAGACAACAACAAAAAACAACAGAACTCATAAATGAATTCAGTAACATGTGCTTTCCCCTTTTCTTTCTTTCTTTCTTTCTTTCTTTCTTTCTTTCTTTCTTTCTTTCTTTCTTCTTTCTTTCTTTCTTTCTTTCTTTCTTTCTTTCTTTCTTTCTTTCTTCCTTCCTTCCTTCCTTCCTTCCTTCCTTCCTTCCTTCCTTCCTTCCTTCCTTTTGCATTTATACAAGATTTCTTGTAGGTAGATTTCCTGTCTCAAAAATGCTCTATATATGTTCTTACTGTTTGTTCAGTGTTCATATTTGAATTATGGTGGAAATAATTTTTTTAAGAGAGAGAAAGGGAGAGAGACAGGTTGTGAAATGGGGGGGGTCAGGCATAGGGAGGATGGAGACATGAAACCCCCAAAGTCTAAATAAGAGCTTGCATTCTTGGTGCGAGAACAGGGTTCGCCTCGTCTCTGTAATCCTAGCAGCAAAAACACAAGGCTGATGCAAAGCAAGTCCTCAGTCGATGTGTGTATTTGTGTCACAGAACATGAAACGCCTACCCCCAGGGATGCCAATGACTAGCAATATGTGTCCCTGTGCCTGGTGACAAAGAAACATCAGGAAATACCTGGCATTGGTATATCGATTATCATTTGCAAAACACGTAAGATTTGTTCTATCGACTTTGATCTTCATTACAACCCTGTGAGGGAGATTTCCAATTCCCATTTCTATGTGAGGAAAGGAGCGTCAGAGAAGTGTCTGGTTCTCAAACACTCTGGTAAAAGTGTCAGGTGTAACTTACGACCCCTGGTCTTATTCCAAACCCTTGGCTCTAATATGCTTCATCATCTTAAGTTGCTATTAAAAAAAATAGCAAGAAACAAGTTAATGCATTGATTTCCTTTAAATGTATAGTCTCCTATGATCTTCATGATACCCGTAGTTCTAAAAAAGAAAAGAAAGAAAATCGAAGGGTGTTTACCCTTATCCCGGGGAAGCTAACTCTGTTGAATGTTTTGCAAAAATACAAAAGAGGAAGTAATCCAATACCTGACCACAATGCGGGGTTGCGGCAATATTTTTTTCTGAGGCAAACCGGTGAACTGTGGCAATGTTTGTACAGGCAAGTTCTCGGCCCCTCCCCACTGCCCACCCCTTCCCCCAGAGGGGAACCTTTTCTTCTGCAGGTCAGGCGGTTACTTTGGAGATGTTGGGATTGTGTTCTGGTCCCAGCCGAGAGAGCAGACACTTAGACTAATTGCAAGTGACCAGTGAGAGCACCTATTCTGACCCTGCACATTCCTGCACGCTGACACTTAACGCTGTACCCAAATCACTTGTTTGTGAGTCTATTTGACCACCTTGTTCAGTGCCTCAGGATGGGGAATTAAACTCATTTGTCATTATGCTCCTAGGGCCAGGCCTAACACTGTACTTGGCACACTGCAGAAGTTCAATAAATGCCTGTGGGAAGGAAATGGAAGCAGAATGACATTTTCTACTTGCCAGA